TTTGTATTTAATGAATCTGCGTAAAAGCAAAACGTGTGAGGTAAATGAAGAATGTAGATTAGTTAAAAAGATTGTCAATTAAAAAAGACGTTATTTTTAAATTAATATTTAACTTCTTGGTTATTTTTATATATTTTGTTTTTATGTATTTGTTTTTGATTTACGTGCAAACAAAAACGTAGATATTTGTTAGAAAAGTAGATTTATAAAAACTGAAATTTAATTATTTAAATATTGAAACTATGAGATTTCTTGCAATTTAAAATAAAAACACTTAATACAACAATTGAAGAGATATTATACAAGGTCTTTAAGCAAGTCGTAGCTAAATTGTTGTTATATATTCGGTTTATAAACAATTTCCATAATATGCACATATTCACATATATTATAATTTGCTAAGACCTATACCTATATATGATATGATTTCTCGGTATTTACAATAACAAAATAATGATAGATAGATACTGTATGTTAATTACTTGGATGTTTCCTTACACTTTTATTTCATTAATTTTATTTTTTTTTGTTTTACTCATAAAACCTGATTTTAGGGATCTATTCACATTTTATGGATCAAATCTAACACAAACAACTAATTCTATCAATTATTGTAAACATTTCAGATTCAACTGTTTAATTTATTTTAGATTCAAGCATTTACTCACTCGAAACCAATTCGTTTACTTAAATCTCATAACGTTTACACATATTATCTAGTATCTCTAACTTTAGTTTGGATGGTACGTCGTGTAATAACTGGGTTAAAAAAATATTCACCTAGTGAAGAGGTCAAAAATATACCACAAGCTACAGAAACTCGTAGATATTTCTATTATATCTATCAATCATATCTATCAATTTGCTCATATGTATCTTTACAAATTATTTTTGGTATTATTATATATTGAGTTTCCGCAAGTAAAGACTTCTCTAGAAATTATTATGGTGAGGGTATAGAGTTAATGATTGAATATTTATTGTGACTTATTTTTTATGATACTTGCACTTAGATACAGCTGTCTTAAATTATAAGTTTTATTATTGAAACCAAATAGTTTCAGCTATGAAGTGGCAAAGATGGAGCTTTCTAAAAATCGTCCCCATAAATAATATCATAATGAGCGTACATGAAGCTTAGTCATTCTAAAATTATACTTAAAAACATATGTAATAAGCCAGTATTTATATAATAGAAAAATTAAATTGATAAACATAAATTCTTATTACTCTTTGTGTACTTAAACAAATTAAACTAACAAATAGACATAAATATACGAGTATATTCAGTTTTTTTTTATGTTTGAAGCAATCATAGAACTTTTGAGTAGTACACACAAAATTTATTTAGACTACAGTTTAAAACTTCTCATAGTAATAAAACAATAAATACTGTTCTGTTTTTCCAGGGTATCCAATATACATATGAATTTTTGTAGTTATTTACATCAAATTCTTACATATGGCCTGATCCACCTGCTTATATATTCAAAATTAAAACAGTTTAATTACCGCTACGTTATATCCTTTCTTCTTTTTTAACTTTCTTCTTGAGTTAGTGCTATTACGCACTTTTATTCTATAATGGCTGGGAGGCTTATCTCTACCTCACACTAGGCTTTAACTAGGCTAAGTCATTTATTTGTCTTTTAGTTGATGACGGAGCTTAAATTAGCATATCTTCCTGAGAGTCCAGAAGTGGACTTGAGGATTGTTAGGGCGGGGTTAAGTAGCGTATCAATTTTAGAGAATAATTTTAGAGCTCTGTCTCTGATATATTTTTTCACTGAGTCAATCCTAAGATCTGTATGTATGTCTGTTGATCTAATATACCATGGAATCTTAAACAGTCTTCTTAAAGCCAGGTTTTGTGCTATCTGTAATTGCTTTATGGTAGTATTTCAGGCTTTGCTATATGTAACACATCTGTACAGTAGTACAATAACAAAATACTTAACTTTAAAATTTTATATTGATGTATTACCTATACGTTTCGATCAATAAACTGTTATGTAGGCTGGCTAGCTCTCTATATTGGTACCCAGTATTTTTGTTTGACACACGCCAAAAAAAAATTTATAAAAATCAAACTAATATTTAAACAATTGTCTAATTATGTTCTAGTATTAAATTTGGTACTAATGTCGTATAACTGTTTTATTTAATTATATTTAATATGAAGCAAAAAATCAAAATACCATGAAAAAGCTTAACCCAAGAACGGTACAGAATTGTGACAAGCTCTTACAGAAGTTTGCTTATTACTAGAAACTATTTATAGAGTTTAAAATAATTTATGAATTAGTTAATTTATTAATCAAGTAGTTAATTAATTCTCTTCTGGAAGTGATTAAATGAGTTTTACTACGAAATACTGAAAGCAAAAAACTTAGTCGTATAGGTGTTAAAACCTTTCCGAATACATTTATTTCTTTAGCGGATTTATAACACAAAACAAATGTTTTAATATTTAAATAATATATTTTTTTGTTTAATTTAGCATTTTATATTAACTACAGACAAAAACGTTAGAAAGAATTGAAGTGGTAAGCGTATAAATACCACGAAAATGGCTTGAATTGAAACATAAAGCAGTTAAGATTTGAACAGCAAATATCTAAGACCAAGTTTCAAATTTCTATTCAAAGAAATATCATGAAAGTTACAATTGTGTTTTTGTGTGCCATTTTTGCAACATTTACATTACAAGCATGGGCACAAGAAGTGGATGGAGAAACCGGTGCTGGCGATGTGGATACGCAGAGTACTTCTGGTGGTGGTGGTTTTGGTTTCACTAGTGGTAGCGAAACTGGTGAAGGCGGTGGTTCCGGTGGAGGTAGTACCGGTGGAGGTGGTGCAGGTGGTGGTGGTGGTGGTGGTGGAAACAGGCCTAGCGGTGGTAATAGACCAAGTGGTGGTAATAGACCAAACAGGCGACCAACAGGGGGCAATAGAAGACCAAGCAACGGTAATAGACGTCCAAATAGAAGACCAAGTAGTGGTGGCAATAGGCGCCCAAGCTCAAGTAATAGAAGGCCTTCCAATAGCAGAAGACCCAACTCAGGTGGTAATAGAAGGCCAGGCAGAAGACCTAGCGGAGGTAATAGAAGACCACAAAGAGGTTAACATTACTGATATTTCAAAGGCTTTATCAACAGTTCATGTCATTACAATATTCGAAAATTAATAAAATTAACAAGAAATAAAATGTGAAAAAAAATCCAAACTGTTTTCTTAGTTGCTGTTCATCAGAACAAAAAAAAAAAGCAAAGAGGGTTAAACATTTAAAAAAATTGTGCGTTGCTTAGCATTTGAACAAATATTTAAATATTTGATTTATAAAACAGTCAATAATGTACTAAATAAATTTTTAATTAGACTTGCTAATATATAAATACCTAAGAAATCTTCAAATCAGCACAGTCTATTAACAGTTCTAAATTAAAACAACTCTAAATATGAAAATAACAATTTTGTGCTTCATTGCTATTGCTCTGTTCGCGATACTAGCCTCACAGCAGGTATCAGCGCAAAACAATGATGCGCAAACTTCCGGCACTGGTGATGGTTCTAACACAGGCACTTCAAGTACTGGTACTGATACTGGTACTGGCACAAACACAGCTACAACTCGTAGAACTACCCGAAGGACAAGCAGAAGACCCAGCAGCAGCAAAAGACCAAGTAGTAATAGAAAACCCAGCAGCAACAGACGTCCAAGTAGCAACAGAAGACCAAGCAGCAATAGAAGACCAAGTAGCAATAGAAGGCCAAGCAGTAATAGAAGACCCAACAGCAACAGAAGACCAAGCAATAGCAGAAGACCATCAAGAGGCTAATTTAATAATTTAAGAATCTATAGCATGGAACCTCAAATTTGAACCTAAATATATAACTTTATAATTTATCTATAGATCTAATTGATCTGTGCATTGTCTATGGAAATAAAATTCTTATTAAGAATTAAAAAAATTATTGCTTTTATGCTTTGAAACTAAAACTACTTTGTCTGAACAAAATATATCTAATTAATTGGAGATTCTGGGCTACCACCAATATACCTATTAGTATGGAATTAGCTTCATAGAGTTTATGTTTAACTTTGAATATATATAATTATTTTTATTTAATATTTAAAACTTGGAACTTTAGCATTGAAAATTTGTGCAGCCTTAGTTACTTGTGAAAATATACGATTTGTCATGACTTCTAATTTGACAAGCACGAGTTCTAAGCCTGGCACTTGCAGTTCAAACAAATTATATACAGACTGTAAACTAATTTCAAATTAAAATGAATGTGAGATTTTACTCTCTTGTGCAATAATGTCTGAAATTACTTTAAAAATTTGTAATTTTGTAATTTTTACTACAGAAATTATACACATCCTTGATTAGATATTGTTGCATAGTAGAAAAAAATGTGCAATTACATTAGTGAAATTGAAATTATATCTTATAAAAGAAATGATTAGCGTAAATAAGGATATGAACTCTACTTAGTTGTAGAGGGTAAAAGCATTTCAACAATGAAAATATATGCTACTTTGTTGTGTATTCAATAACCATGAGTTATTACAGTATTATAGGGAATTAAATTTTGTGAACAATTTCATAGAAATTATTTATACAGGTATATACTGTTAAATATATCAGCTGTACTTATCCAAGGAAATTATACTCTTCATATCGAAAGAGAATTAGCTAAGGGTCAAGAGTAACATGCTCTTAATATCGAAGCAAAGTAAACCAAGGGTTGATACAATTTCAAACAGATACAATGGAAAATTCTATTTTAACCCAGTCAAGATGCAACAAAACCTCATTGGAGAACAACAACGGTAATAACTTGTATAGATAATGTATAGATAATTTAGAAAAAAAGGCAACTTGCACAACTAAGTTATTAATTATATTGTTAATAAGCAATAACTCTTTTTTTAGATCTATCTCTCAAACTTTTTAGATTTATAACAATCTGCTATATAGATAATTTGCAGAAGACATCTAGTCTTATAAGTGTAAATATCACAACAATAGCAACTACAACCTGCTGTATGTTTAATTCGTAGTTAATATACTGTTAATCTGATCATATCTCACAAATTATGACAAAAATAAACTTATATAAATAATCTGTAGAAACTTTTTTTATTAGACACATCTCTGTATATTAAGAGTTTACTAAAAATATCTATTCTAATAACAATATAAAATTATTATACATAATTTAACAAAAATTAAACAACTCGTGCCATTGAAGTACCCTTAAAGTATTATTTATAACCAATAAAAAGAATATAGCTACTCGTTCACCATCTGAAGCATTACAAAATTCGGAAAAATAAAAATAGAGAAGGACATAAAATGCGGTAGTTCTTAGAAAAGTGGGTCATTGAACTAAATTTCAAATGCTCATATTTATTATTGAAATAATATTAAAAAATATATATAATTTTGGCACAGCCCTATTATTTTAGAAATTTTAAGGTTGCAATTATTTCTTTATGGTGTATTAAAAATTAGAGATTAAATATTTGCTTTTGTGATTTGATGTTTCATTACAATTTAAAAAACTTAAATGTTTTTTTTATGTTAGGTTTTTAAAACGTTAAAAGCTTTTCAATTTCCTAATTAATTGTCACGCAAATCTGCTCATCTATTTTTAAATTTTTTTTTTGATGATTATTTCGGCGATGAGTATGGCAGTGAAGAGTAAATTTATTTATTATATTTTTTGTTTAATACTTCAACAACAACTACAACAACAACAACATTCATTTAATGGAAGAGTGCTTGAAATCTGCAGTGTTGTCTCTTCGTACTACTGATAACTACAATTGCTGATAAAAGCAATTGGTTTAAAGGTTAGCAGTGTTTTGTTAATTATATTTCTACTGATTACGATATTCCACTTATTACAACTTTTCGATTTGCCAATATTTATGTTAAATTGATACAAAAACGCCCTTTAAAAACAAAAACCCAATTACTTTAAACCAAATAAAAATATATTTTTATGAGGATTTTCACATTTTTTGACTAACTACATTAAAATGTTCTCTTTATAATAATACAGGTGAAAGTGGTGGAAAAGCACTAAACACTGGAACATATAGTACATGTATGTATATTAAATTTATAGTTTGTGTGATTTTTGAGCAAAAATAAATAAAGCAATTACTTAATTAATTATTTTTTAGCACCTCACAATATCGAGCCCGTTAGAGAAAACCATAAGCAAAGTAAACTGCGTGACAGTCAAGTGCAACGCTATCATATCAACGTAATTTGTGATATAATAGCGCAGCAATTTTCGTTGTTGTTTTGGAAAAACAAAAACAAAAACAAAAAAGAGAAGAAAAACAAATCTGCGTCATATTTGAATAATAAATATTACATAATTATTTTCAAAAATTATTACGAACTAAACTAAAGTACAAAATATATATAGAAAACTATTACTTACATCCCAAAGCCGAAATAACGTTCCCAAGCGCCAATAGACCTTGATTGATTTTAACACCTTCCTTGAAGCGGTCGCCTGTAGTTTTCGTCTTTTTTGATCGCTCGGAACCAGCCAAATCCACCAAATGAAACTTAGACGTAGTCATGCTTGTGCTGCAAAAATAAATCAAGTTTATTTTATATTAAAATAAATTTTCTTATTTACTTACAGTGTATCTTTTTTGGTGGCCTGAATTGTAACCGTAAAGATAGCATGCGAACGCGATGACTGCGAGTTCATGGCAGTGGACGCTACAGCTCTGCCTATGGAACCACGCATAAGACAGGCAGTTGTTTCAGTAGCCGTTCGCACCACTACATCAGTCAAATCTTGCATTATAATGCCAGTACGATCTTCGCGCAACTCTACTGTGCTCTGCTCTCTTGGTTTACTCGATAATAAATCAAATAATTGCTCTTGATAAAGCTCCACGAATGAACATTTCACTACAAATTGGTGCGATTCTCCTAGTTCCTCTATACGTTTGAATATATCATGCATTGCACGCGGTATAACGCCAATGTGTTCATTGAAGGCACCGTCATAAGTTGTGCCCATTGTATGAGTTTTACCGGAGCCAGTTTGTCCATACGCCAATATTGTTGCATTGAAACCAGAAAATAGTTTATCAAGCATTTCACATACGGATGCACTGTAAACCTCCTCTTGTGTACTGTCTTGATCGAATACGTAATTAAAAGTGAACAAGTCGTTCTTATTTACTGCAACTTGCTGTTCGCCAGGTGCAGTACGCTTAACCGCCACTTGACATCCTCTTTCGATTTCAGTGTGAACCAATGGTCGCACTCTTAATGCTACGCGCACCGAATCAATTTCACTCATTTTTAATATTATGCTAAGTACAAAAATGCAACAACTATCTACTATAACAAAAACTATATATATAATACAATTACGATTAAATTACAAATAACAAAAAAACGGAAAAACAAACAAAAATCAATAAAACAACTTATCGCAAAATGTCTGCCTCTTTTCTCTAGCGATGCACAGTTCCGTTTAAATTCGAAAACTGACAGCCGCTGCTGTCAAGAGTTGTGTGCGTCGTAATAAAACAAGCCAGCGAAGTGTTGTGTTTTGTCCGAAATTCGGAGTATTGTTCTCTTTATCTACCGTCTGAAACACACAGTAAAATGGATTAAGTTAATTAAAAATAATTTTATGTGTGCTTTTTTGATGTTTATCTTAGAAAACTACTATTTTAACTATTTTAAAGTCAATGGTTTACCTACATACATCATTGATCCTCCAATAAATTTGATCACTTTTATTGCGCCTTTTTCAAACCATTTCAATGCCATATCATTGTTGTATTTTAGTCCGAAAAGTACATTGCAAAATTATTGTAGCACAAAAATAAAGAAAATCATATATATTTTTATTAATTAGGTAAAAAGTTATATAGATTTATTTTCATTTCTCGTATATTTTTTTCATATAAATTTTTCTAAAACAATGTATACTGAGAATATTATCTCAGACTGATGTCGAATAAGTTAGTTGCATTAGCCTATGCTACCACTTGAGTAATTTTGGAATATTAATTTTGGTGCACTAAGTTTTGTTACCTGTTACCTGCAATTAAATATATTTGCAAACATATATATATATATATTTCAGGATAGAGCTCTGAAATTATTTGCAAAATCTGACAGACTTACTAACACCGCGTTATCAAATCTCAGAATGGTTACAGGCTCCTCGGGGAGATATGCAGGTCTGAGGTCAATTATTGCTTAGTCTGATGAAGTGATAAACAATAATCCAGCCAAGGCGCAAAGAGGGGTTTTGTAGAAACCTCGCAGTTAATAGAGAGTAAAAGTGCTTAGGTACACTGACTCAACTCAACTAGCCTCAACATATATATCATTACATATGCTTATATCTCATTATATATATTAAAATTAAATAATAACACATGTAAAAAGTATAAAAAGTTTGTAAATTGCTAGATGTTTTTAATATTAGGAATTCTTTCGATGAAGGCAAAACCGAATTTACCGAAATACTTATAGAGATATATAATATACAACGTACGAAGTTAAAGTTAGAATTCTAAAAAACAAAACTGAATTTAAAATATTTTCGACATCACCTAAGTGGTAAAAAAAATGGTAAAAAAAAAATTAAATATATGTCATTTATCATAATAAATTGTAATCATGATATTTTATACTATAAATAGTTAGTCCTTTTCTTTTGTAAGCATATTATATAATATATATATAAAATAACGATTACTTTGATGACAACTCTGGAAAAACCGAAATTTTGTTTGACTTATATATGCAAAATACGTAATAAAATGAAAATGAATAATAATTCTTTGCAGTTATTTGTAAGAATATGTTTCTTGACTGTTACCTGGTTATTTGTACGTACTTCCAAAAACCGTTCACAATAGAAGACGAATTTTTAGTATTGGCAATCATGTGATTTGAGCTGCTTATTAGTTAAGCGGTTTCAAAAAGGTTGGATTAAATAAACAGGCGGTGTTGATATTTCATATGTTATTTTTAAAATAAGCGATTGTTCTTTTTCATATGCTTACTAAATTAAATGTCTAGCATTGTTGTTTCATGTGTTATTTTTAAAATAAGCGGTTGTTCTTTTGTGATATGCTTACAAAAGAAAATGATTAACTATTAGTAAAAAATGTCATGATTATAATTTATTATGATAAATGACATATATTTGATTTTGAAATAGCTGTTGTTAGTTTTAGTTGTTGCAAAATGATAACATATTTATTGCAATTAATATATAGAATTATTATATTTTGTATTGAAAATTAATAATAAGATAAATTAGTATACCTAATTAGTTTGTGTGAGACACAATTGTTTTGTGTCAAATCTAATTGGATTGTATATTGTTTAAAATTAAAGAAAAAACGTATTACGAAAATTAATGATATTCCTATTTAGTATAATAAGTCAATGCCAGCTTGAACATCCAATGAGTTTATTTTGTGAACATTTTTTAAAGCTTGTGGCAACGCTCTTTAAGCGACGCTATCGTTTGCTCTGGCAGCGAAAAAGTTTGTGTATCATAAAGATTTATAAAATTAATTGTGAAGCAAATTCCTTTGAATTGTAAAATCTAATACACGAAATTAAAAATTTATTTTGCTGGGTGTTTGGATGAGGATATTAAATCAATAAAAAGAATTCAATTGTACGTAGTTGGTAAATTTTTTCCTTTGATGAAATAATCAATTGGTGATATGGCTGCCAAATTGTTTCAATATTTTGCCATATATAAAATTTTAAATTGTGTGTAATTGAAAATAAGTTTATCTGCAGATATTAAGCCTTTTTGGAGTCGTAAAGTAGAATTATTTTGGATTGGATTTTAAAATTGTTGAACGATTAAGCCTTGAAGGCATTTTCCCATGGCCCAAATCTCAGACGTGCACTTAATAAACGAAGGTGAGAGAATTCACAGCTGCAAAAACAACTAATATTTTGTTTAATTAATTGCAGATAGCGGCGATATTACTGAAGCAACAAATGCTTGGGCGTTGTACTTAGAAATTATTAACAATGATTGCAGCAGACTAAAAGAGCATTTATCCGCAAATAGTGCTGTGGATTGGTTTGGCCATATCATACGAAAACCAAATTTAATATATCAATATTTGAGGTTAGTTATTAGTGCTGAGAAACTATATTTCTTAGTATATTAAAGTATAAATTATATCTTTAATAGATATGAAGCAATTTCCCAGTACGAACACAGTAATATTGAAAGAGCTGAGGAATGCGCACCAATCGAAAAGCCATATCTTACTTTTACGTATGTATTTTTTAATAATATTCAGCACTTAGTATGCTAATATATATAATAATTTAGTATGGCTCCGCCAAGGGAGAAAAGGTTCATAAATCCAAGAAACGTTGTTCCACTACACAACCTAAAAACCTACGCTGAAAGTGATCCTGAACTCGATGATGCTGATATGGCACCACTTCCAGAACATAGCACCCCAGAAAAAAAACAAAGTACACTTATAGCTGAATTTACACCTCCAAATAGTACAGTAAAACAAATTGAATCTAACTCTGACACTGATGAAGAAGATTGCAGTGAAAGTAAGCCTAAACGTCTAAAACGTACAATTTCACCGAAACGTAGTTTTAAATACCTGAGGCGTATCCCAACAGCAGATAATGTGGCCAAACGCAATGCCATAAGAAACAGTGGTGTACGTACATTGCTTGATGATACATCCAGTGAGGATGAAGCAGAGGAAGTAATAAAAGATATAATTGAATACACACCATTACGTTACCTTGAAGTAACATGCACATTACGTAAACTGCCTCATGCCCGAGACACTAATCTAGTAGACACGCCTACTTCTACAGATAATGCAGGTAACTGTGATCGCAAAGTACGTATTAAAATTTCATATCGCGTTCGTTTGTGTGACCAACAGCTGTTGTTCGCTTTGATTATCTATGAACAAGCAAATGCACCAACAACATACACACGCAGAAATCTCATGTTAGAGTTTCGTAAAATTGAAAACGAAACATATGAAGAGTCCAATGGCTACGAGGAACAACCGGCGATAGCAGTAAATGCAAACGAAGAGGAAACTATCACAACTGTAGAGTCTCCTAACACTGATGATATTACAAATGCATTGGAAACTGCAACATTTTCAATTTTGCGTACTCCTACAAAATCAATTTGTACTCCACCACCAACACCGGTGCGGAAACCGCGTTCACAGCGCCAAACGCCAGACAGTGCACGCCTCAGAGCATCGTCCTCAGCTATTCCAAAACGTAGCGCAGCGCGTAGCTTAAGACTCTAAACGTACAAATTCTTTCCTCGTCGATTCCAAAATTATAAAAAAAAAATTTTAAGTATTCCAGCACATTTATGCAAATTGTAATTCTAAATATTTTTTGTTTATGAAAGTATTTAAAATTCATAATTTGTTTCAAGTGTTTACACGTCAAAATCCTAATTACAAAATTATTTAACTCTCTTATGGAAGAACTAAATTAAAGTAAATTTTTCCATTATTGATTTAAATATTTTTATTTCATATAAAAAATTAAATATTAAATACAGTAGGTGTGGATTCGCATAAACCAACTGTTTTTCTAAATGCGCTCTAATATTTAAAATTTTGAATTGTATTTCTCTATCCTTTATTTTATATTTACTAATTTTAATTGCGATACATATATATTTTATTGTAACAATTAAATTTTAGTTATTTATATTTTTAATTAACAAAATTTTGTACTTTACATTGCTGTTGTCTATATGTAATATTATTCATTAATGTTCAAATATCATCAGTCTTCAAATGATATTTAATTTATTTGTTAGAATTTTTAGTGAAATTTTTTGAATCATGCGGTTTTCGAAATAAAAAATTTTTAGTATTTAAATAAAGAACTTCTTATTTTTCCTGTGCTTTGCATAGGCGTGCAATTTAATAACAATTCTTCATATTGGTTACTAGGTTTGGTTAGGTTAAAGTGGTTGCCAGGTGCACAAAAGATCACTTAATCATAGATAATGATCCTTTATGGTACCCTGAACTATCAGCTGGCTACTAGGCCCTGCGATCATCTTACAAGCAGAAGTATCTGGGTTTTTGGGCATAGGGACGTGGAAGATCACAATGTACTTAACGTACTTGTGGATTAATTAAAATTATATCCAATTTAGTTATTCAATCTTCTTCCTCAGATGAGTTATAGAATAACGATTGGCGCATTAGCGTGATATTGTATGTTAAGAGCATAAGTCCACAAGGTCGGCTTGGTTAAGACAATCACATAAGAATCCTTTTTCTATTCAAATATCTCTTGTATCTAAGATTTGAATCATCTAAAGAGAATTTAGATAATACCTACCTTTATAGTTGTCAATAGAACATATTCTGGTATACAACATATTTTTATTAGTTCAAAAACTGCTTATTCTTTTAATTTTTTGAAAATTCTTATTATTATACAATTTAATATAACATTAACTTTTTTTAACAAAATAAAAGGATTTTTATGAAGTTAAGATACTTTTTTCTACATACATTTTTTTTAGTATACAATTATTTATGTATATATATTTAAATATATACTTACATTTGAAGGACACATAAATCTTAATCTAAAAATAAGTTGGAAAGTATTTGCAGAACTGGAAATGATTAGATTGCTTTGTATAATTATTGGAATTAAAACTAGAATTCTTAAGTCTAACTATTGGCTTAACTTAATATAAATAACATTAATCAAACAAATACTGTAATTAAATATATTAATAAAAATAATTTTCTATAGTTAAAATGTAAGGATAAGGTTTCCTTATTTGTTGTAATTCTAACTGCTGTCGGGATCCACTGGTATCGCTTTGACTATGAAACGTTTACGGTCGGCCAATGAGAGACTTGAGTTGCCTTTGGAATGGGCGTATGAAGACTATGAAATAAGAATATATAAAGTAATTATTATATAATAGCGCGAATTCACGACTTATATATAAGCGAATGAATATTAATATAAAATTAGTAGCAAATCAAATGTGTGGATCAATATAGGAGGATCATGCAAAACCTTCACACAAGCAGATTGGAATACGTAAATTTCAGAGCAAAATTTTAGTCATAAGGACTTAGAGAAGTGATTATCTTGTTAGAAAAGATTTTAAATTATTAGTAAAAAGTTATAAAAATAAAAGCAAATACTCACACAAATTATATAGGATTTTTATTCTACAACAAAAAAAAATATATATATGGTATATAAAAATCTTAAAATAAAAATTTTTCAAAAACATTTAAAATGTGAATCACAAAATCTTATTTCCATTATCATTATTATTTTTTTTTAAATTATATTCTTTTTTTCTTGCAATTAGAAAATGCAAATTGTTTGATTAATTTCGTTAAATGTCGGTTGTAGGGTCCTGAGCTAAATGTGAGTTGGATTTTGTGCTTAACGAGTATTTAAAAAAACTCAATATTGTTTATCTAAAACGAGATGAAAAAATAAAAAAAGAAAATACATAAAGACATAAATAATAAAACTAATGAAATAAAAATTCAAAAGAAAAGAAAACAATATATGAATAAATAAAAATTTATTTCTTAAAATATCAGAATTTCAATACATGACTCCCGCAACTAGGTGGGGCTCTTCAAAGAAGGAGCCTAGTAATTGTGAAGATGTCAGGTATGTTGATATGTATTAATGAATATATGCTTTAAATGAGATCTTACGTGTAAATCTCACGTAAGATACTTAGAGTGTAAATCTCCAAGTATCCAAAGTTCTTTAAAATCTTTAGAATTTAATGAGGATGATATTTGAGTCGATTTCACGGTGGTAACTTAAGTTTCAAAATTGATTAATATGTAATTATTTAAGAATGAATCAGTATTGAGAGTTAAGTTAGGATTGTGTGAAATCGGCTTTAAATCTTGCTTTTTGTTTGTATGTTAGTTTTTTGATTTGAAGAATGTATGAACATAATACCCAATTCACACAACAAACTTAAGATAGAAAAATATTGCTACGGGTCACTTGGCTTTTTATGCTCTTTAAGATTTCTTATGGAAGAATGCCAAAGTTTGTATTTACATTATATAGGTATTTGCTCACAGAACAGAATCAGAAAGGTAATCAAAACGATTTCTGGCCTTTTATAAAAGTATCTTAACCGTTAAACGTATAACTAATCCATAATGATTAATTAAAATCTGACTCAAGTCAGGTTGAAAATCGGTCGCAACTTCATTAAATATTTGAAAAAAAATCGTTGATTGCTTAGAACTTGTACGAATATAATGATCACAATTACTTTGAAGTCAATTCCTGCTTATACTCAAGGATTTATGATCAGTTCGCGCTGGTAATATCAGCCATTGGGGAACAAGTATATAATTAAATAAAATACAAATAAAGAAAAAAGATATTAGGTAGCGAAAGATCCATTCTATGTTTTTTCAAAACATGTGATATATCATGATATATTAATTTGAAAACATAATTGTTCTATGAATCTATGTTACAATGCAAGAATATTCGTATTAAAAGAAATGGAATTTGTGTGGCACGACAGAAGAAATAGCCTACATGACAAATGTAGACGATATTTATGAGTCATATGATTGCAGGCAGTACCCATATGCAGAATAGAGTTTTGAACTCATTAGAATATGTGCTACTTATTACGACAATTGCACTTACTTGAAACCCCCAGGGGACTAAGCGCAGAGGCAGATCAGCAATGACCTGGAGAAGGACTGTTCAGCAGGAAACGTGCAAATAATTTAATGCATTGAGAGCAATACCACAAAATAGAAACCAGTGAAAAACTTTTGTAGACTCCCTAAGCTCTTAATGGAGTATGGAAATAATAATATAATAATATTATGATATTATCATAGGTACTCATATTAGTACTCAATAGTTAACGTTGATTATTACTCGGATTTACTATGCAGGTATATAGAGTTTTAGCATATGCAAATTACATAAGACTGGTAAATAAAAAATGTTTTGAAGTATAACTGCTTTATTTTTTATGACCTAATGAAAAAAATTGCAGAATGGTCTACATAAGTGATGAATTTAAACTTATTTTGAGATGGAACAAGCTCAAAGTCAAGCTCTCCGAAGGCTCTTCAAAGTGCCATGGTACATCCGCACGAATGACATGCTAAGAGACCTTAGAATAGATCCGGTCAAAAAATATATAACGGACAGAGCTCTAAAGCTATATGCGAAAACCGACAGGCTGCCCTACTTAGCACTATCTAATCTCAGAGTAATCACTAACTGCACGGAGTGGTACGCAGATCTTAGATCAATCATTGAATAATCACGAAGATTATGAGGAATACTCAAATTAGTCAGTGAGATGGGTGGGACTCTACAGAAACCCCCCAACCAACATAGAGTAAAAGTGTCCAGATGCACTAACTCGGAAAAGGCTCAACATAAGAGATGAAACAAATTTAAATACAAAATGTATGAAGAGCGGTAGTGATCGAAAAATAGTCTCAGGTATTCTCTGCCAACTCTGCTTCAGGATCTAAAAGTCAAAAGATATTCAAGTTAGCAACGACTTTTATCTGTTGTGGACTAATGTGTCTTTAGTGGTGAGCTACATGTATGAGGTACTCTTATGGATTAATGAATCTTTAGCTTATATCAAACAGTTTATTGTTTTAGAAATGTATATTGTCAAAACCCAAGTGTAAATTTTGGTACATCGCTCAAAATCAGTTTCTTTAGAAATATAAAGTGAATGTTAATAATTTATTTCAAATAACTCGTGTGTTTAATATGTTTTTGTGTAATTTTTTGGTTTAAGCGGAAATCATTAAAAATTATAATTTTCATCATATTATCTTAAAATAAATTCCCCAACCAATTTGAATGTAAATATAAACCAATTATTAAAACCACAGAATAAGATCCATAATGATTAAAAACCTGAACACCCTATAAATGGTCACACTATACACATTACTTATAAACAATACAATACAACTTATATAAAAATATTATTTAATTGTATGGGAATTATTGTATACCTCAACACATTTACACTGATTCTCATCGAAGATGGTCCCTGTGGTGCAAGTGTCAGTGTCACGGCAGACGCACCTACATTTGTTCTCATCCCAAATTTTGTGATCCTCCTTTAAGAACAAAAATAAAAAAATTTTAAATGATTAATAAAAATTTTTAAATTTGTAAATAAAAAATTAAATGACTACCGTTAAACATTTCTGCACTAAATCATGCAGCTCATCCAATTTACAGATGCAACTGCAACGGCTTGGATCGTAGATTTGATAGGAGTTACAATCCTAAAAATAATATATTACCACTGAAGTCTTTTAAAAATTTTTATATAAAATTTTATTTTAATAAAAGTAATTTAATAAGGTGCTAAGTACTCTATTTTTACCTCGGCTTTTATTAAGCAACCGCAGCTACAGGCCTTGTGTTCTTCAATAAGAACTATTTCCTGCCCATCAAGTATAAGTCTATTGTTTGCTGCATAACGGATTCTTTTTATCTATCAAGATGTCGATTATTATTTTTACAAGTTTCGAAATATTTTTTAATATACAATAAACGTACAACAAAATTTATTATTTCGGTTTCCGTAGGTTGGCAAGTCGTCAATTTCGAACTGCAGCAACCGCCACAACGATTGACTTGCGTGCAAGAGGGATAGTAATATACGCCGGGATCTTTTGTACCATTTAATGGGGTAAGAGGTACAATTGTGGATTTTGGTGCACAAGTTACTGACTTAGGTATGACCGCTCGAGCTTTTGACAGGAAGAAAAAGGAATAAAATAATGTTAACTGTCGTTGAGGAATAGGTTCGTTGCTATGGGCAATAATTGCCAGATGATTTCTAATTTCTTAAAAATATCAAAAGTACATATTTTATCTGATTTGTATATATTAGTGTTATTGCAACGAACATCCACAAAGTATAGTTATGATGGTGTTATGCGTATGACATTCATTATATAAGATACTAAAGGTATTTCAATAATCAAAAAAAATTTAATACTTACAACGCTCAACATTTCTTTTCATGTTACCTTAAATGAGAAATGAAGAGAATAAATGTTATTTTAAAATGATAAAAAAAATATTAAAAATAAACTTAAAATATTATTAACTTTTTATGTTTAGCTGGGCAAAAAGTATTCGGCGTTCGTATATTTTAATATATCTTCATTAATGTCGAAAGTAAAAAGTCCACCAAAAATTTAGGTATAACTAACTAAAAATACAGAAGTTGTAGGTAATAACAGAAAATAAAACCTCTAAACACTTTTTAAGTAAAGAGTCGCGCTCTCTAAGATTAAGACATTCCACTATGGAAGCCGACGAAGAATTAAGCCTGACGAATATCTCAAATATAAATCTTACAGTAGTAATTATCTTTATCAGATTAGTTTATAGACTTAAAATCTTAACTGTACTAGAATCTCAACGAAGCCGAGTATTTTTAGTACCACAAGTAAGTAACCCATTTAGAGTTGATGAGCAAAGTTAATAGAAAATAATACGGTAGCACAATGGGCCTACAGACCTTCTAGGATCGCCCGTATAACCTAAACTAACTTAAATAAAAAAAAACACGAACACATTTAACATAACCTAGACAGTTGTGAATGACCTTCTTAAAGGACACTAATCGTCATTTAACATCAGGTTGTCCAAGATGGAGATCCTAACCAAAAAAGTTTTATAAAAATTATTATCCAAAATAGTTGTTTGTGAAGTGGTAGTGTTCGTTAGCACAGCTGTTACAAATTATTACAAAAATTTACATATCTCTTAAGAGTGAATTAAGTGCTATTAATTAAATTTCTAATCTAGTTGAAAAGAAAAATATAAACATATTACAGATTATTCAATTTTTGCTTCTGTACCCTAAGAACGTTCTTGACTTTTAGACATATATCATATAAGTGTTAAATGAACTCTACAATAAATAACTTTATACGTAAATAAATCGGAGTTCAGATTTCCGGAAGGATGTCGATTCGATAATGGATGTACAGTACAGTTATTCAAACAATTTTTTTACACTACATGCGATCCCAAAATTGTTTATATAAATCGTGATTTGAAATTATAAACTATTAATATTAATTATTATGTCAATTAGTTTACGCAATTTTCACATTGATTACACACACTATGGGTAACAATAAGTAGACGCACAATATTGTGGTTTTCATGTATGCATTTCCGGCTTTAAAGCCACATATCTCGAAAACTAGGCTCTGTTAATATATACCGTAATGGAAAAGTTGCACAGAATAGCTGTCTTTACGTCGTTAGTTCCGTTGTAGAATGGGTTTGCTCGGGAATCATGACAATGATTTTTATCAGTCACTGATCACGTAAAACCATACTAATAATAATGTATGCATTATATTTAGAATACCAAAATAGCTTTAAAAAACCCCTGCCCAATTAAAAATTATTCATTATTCGTGCGTTGTTTAATTAAATTTAAAATGTTCTTAAAAAAGATTTTGCTTTTTTTTATTTATTTAAATTAAACATTACGTCTTTGATGACAAAATTTTATCATATTGTTTAAATTCATTACGTTACACTTCGGCATTACTCACTTGGTATGTCAACTTGCGGATCGAGGGTGTCTTTATCCACGTAACGATCGATTAACTCAGATATGTCATTTATATTATCTAATTCTTTATAGAACTCCATTGGAATCTGTAATTTAACAGAAAAATTGATTATAACATTATAAACAAAACAAAAATTAATTTATAAAATAATACGCATTTTATAAAATATACGAATTTATTTAAACATTTTATTTCTAAATATGATTCATTCAAATTCAAGTTTATTTTGAGATACATTTCTATTATCGTCAATTAAGTCCGAATTAGCAGTGCACGTCTAATGAAACACGTCAAATAATTAATTTGGACATTTTTGCAAAAGAACAATACTAGCTATTGTTAAGCTTAAAGTTTCAGAGACATTCGAGGGACGAAGAAAAACAATGGGCACAATAAAAGGAATCGCGTAGAACCCTGAGAAATAGAAGAGATACAGTTATACATTGTAATAAAAATGCAACTAGTTTCAATCCGAAGTTTTCATTCGAGCTAGTAAAGTAGTGAAATAAAGTAGCACTTTTGTTTGTCGTATACAATAAATCAATGATAAACAGTGAGACTACAAAACCACTCTAAAATCTCTAATTGGTTAATATGTTATTTATTTTCTTGGATATAGATATATTGTAGGGAACGAAGTAGCAAACGTGATGACGAACGTCTATGCATAAACTATTTGGGAGCAAAGAAAAACTCACCATCATCATCATCCATGACTATACAGACCATGTAGGACCTAAGCCTGTTTAACAACAGTCTTCCATTCTTCTCTGTTTTTTAGCATATTCTGACAAATGAACTGTTGGAAGTTAACACAATGAAGAAGAGATAGAATCCATTAATCACTTTATATGTTTTTGTCTGGAACTACAGACAAAACGATTTTAATCGCTTATATGCAACTTGTTCACTGCACTCAAAAACTACTACATTCACCGATGTAGACTTGTCGGATACGAGTATCCTCAACTTTCTCTGAAATTAAATAGTTTAACAAGGATAATGAAGATATCAACGGTTAGTGTAACTATGCTCTCCCAGGCAACTTTAAGGGTATCGCAATAAATAATAGATGTCTTTCCAAGCTAAGTTAAACTAATATATAATTGTTTTTAATAGCCCAAATAATATATTCTAATTTAAATATATATATTAAGATAGTAGGATTATTTATTTTCAGCTGCGTCTAATTGAATTGGGACACTAATTGAGTACTAGAACAAAATACGTATTTATTTTAGTTTTAATTGTTCATTTTATAGATATAGTTATAGGTATATTCTAATAGGCTAATGAATATGAAATAATTTTTGGAGAGATTTGATCTACTTCATGTTGTTATTGTTATTTTTTATAAGATTTTTTCCTTGAAAAATATAAATAAGCTTTAAAAATCTATTGAATATATCAAAACCAGTTACTGGAAAAATCATCTAAAGATGGTTCAGAGAATTTTTGCATTCTGCATCTAAAAATAAATACATCCACACCAACGCCAACAAGCTACCAATTTTGCTAATCTCGAAGGCGGTGGCAGTAAATAAGAGCCAGGCTTTATTTGTTGTCAGCCTCGGGCGTGCGTTCAGAACGTTGACTTATAAGCTTCACGACTCGGAAGCAACAATGCAGTTGCCGCACACAAGTGAGTTCGATTTTTGTTTCTTATTTTATTTCTGAATGAAATAAACGTTTGAATGATTCATCGAAAATTCCTCTAAAACTCTTAATAAAAATATTTTCATAATCGTAAGGGCAAATGACAAAAAAAAACAAAAGAAATTATTGGCGCCAACAAATATGTTGAACAGTTATAAAAATAGATCAATCTGTATCTGTGCCAATAACAACCTGTTTTTCGAAATCGACAGAAATTTTTCGAAATAAATTGGCTTGTTTTGGGAAAGGCTTTGTCAACTGCGGTTGCAAATTATTTGGTTAGTGACTAATGATGGTATTTTGTTTTTAATGTGTTAGGAATGTCTGGTTTTACTGTTTACTTACAACAGAAAAATATAAACTATTAAATATTTAATTTACTTCAATTTTTTTCACTTTCAAAGTGTCGAGCTCAATTTGTTGTTTACTTAAGCGTTTTATAGCGGGAAATACTTTCAAACTTGTAACTTCGCATGTCTATAAGATATTAAAAAGCTGTTCTAGACTTCTACCGGCAGCAGTTTTTGTCAGAAATGAAATAAAACGAAACCTATAAATACAGTCGCGAAGCAGTATTTGTTTTTCTAGTTTGTTTTTTTTTTAGAATTATTTAATTATTAACTCAGACTTTAGAAAAGTTATATAAGCTGTTAAATACAATATCTGTGACGTCTTCGAGTTTATGAGCAGCGGTGAAAGTATTTATGAATCATCATTTGTTATCTTCATAAAACGTTTTTATTGTCAAATGTCAGGATCTTTTCAGTATTTTTTAAATACATGATATTTAATAAAAAAGTTCATTACATTAATTATAATCACATTAATTATAAAGAGGTTTTTTCGATTATAATTAATTAATTAAAAAGTATATGGTGTTTTCGCTCTTAAATGAGTCAAAAGATCATAAATAATACGAACGCCCATTAGGGGTGTTCACAATCTTCTGATTGTGAAGTGATCATTTTCCGTCAATGTCAATTGTGTAACTTTTCCAATATTAACATCAAGTTTATGTCTAATTGAGGTGTTATATACTGGTACAATAGGTCTCTTCTGGCCGCAGTACCGGCTGTTGGGCAATTTTAACGTCTACTCTTTAATAAGTGTTATTTAGAATACATATAGAGTAGAAAAGTATAGAGTTCTGCGCTAGAGAAGAGGATCATTGCAACTATAATAGAAAATGTATTATGTATTTAAGATAGTTGTAGCACATAGTGGGTGGGATCGTTTTACTTTGCTTAATAATAAAATCCCTGATATTCTACCATATTCGATATTAACATTTATAAGAGATAAAAATATCAATTTGATTTTCAGGTAATAATTTTTCTTAACATAGAAATAAACATAGCAATTGTATCTATGTAAAGATTAACAATTATCGGTTTTGATATGACTAAACTTCTCATGTATTTTATGGGAAGTGTCCATAGCACATACTTTCCATTTAAGTATGTGATACTTTCTTTTTATGTGAAGCGTAGAATCTCTGTTATGTGGAGCTTATATTGAATATAGAACCTTTCGGATTTCACCTAAGTCTCAGTTGGACAATATTGTTATTTGATCTTCTTAGAGCGTGCTCTATTAGGCCTTATTTTTTTTAATTTAGCCTGTCTGATTGATGTTTGATATTTTTGGGGCCACTAAATCCAGACAATTCTTTGTACAGATTGTCTTAAAGTATGTCTGAATTTTGATTTCAATCGTTATGGAGCTCTTCCATGTTGGTATTGACCGCATATCTACGGCCGTATATCTATTTCTACACCACTTTGCCTACTCAACACCAACATGTATTGTTTATTTTAAGTTAACTGATAATTCTAACCTTTAATATTTTCATTGCAATGCAACAATCAATACGAAAAAATGCGAAAAGGTGACTCACCAACGGAAGTCAATACTATAAAGAAGGAACGTGCCGATTTCAACTTGAGTTAATTTTAGCTTAAAAAAATTTGTACTTGAATGCGAAATTATCTTAGCCAACTTCATTATCTAGCTATGAAAAATTCTTCTATTATTTGCTAACTTCAGGAATTTAATTAGTGGAAAAAGGTAATTCACTACTGTAAACATTAAATTGTAACAAAAAATTTAATTACCTTTTATTTGCTTAATAAAATAACAAATTAAGAGCTGTTGACGTTATGCAAATAATTAATTTACCGCTTAAATCCAGTTAAACTCTTCGTATGCCCCTCATCCATTCGAATGAGATTTAATTATTTACAAAACTTAAAATACAAAACGTCAGAAACAAGTCGCTTAAACACCTGAGCTCACACGCTTCCATATACGCACCCATGTACAGCAGCCATGGAAGGCACTGTAACGTCTGTTGACTTAAAACTAATTAGAATAGTAAACGTGGAAACAGTCTCACAGATAACAGATTCTGAGTTTCGTTTAAGCACAACAAACTAAACAACAACAACAACAAAATGTTTAGAAAACGAAAGTACGTTTCGGGTGCAGAAAGAAGACACCCGTCGTAGAAAGAAAGCATAGAGCAAATTTGACATTTGACTTACCGGATCTGTTCGACTCTCTTCAAGCAACTTCAGTTTCATGTCTTCTGCTTTGGCGTCTGGTGCTGCTGCCTCGGAATTGCTGTGTTGGTTGTCGTAATAGAAACGTGAAGTTATTTGACCACATTCGCAGGTGTACTGACCAGTCAATGTGGTCAAGAATAGCACTACGAAAATGCACTTTGTTGCTTCTGTGCTGGGCATATTTGGTTATAGTTTTTGTTTTCGCTTCTTAAGTTGAAGTTTCTTGATATCACAGATTTTTTCAGCTTTTATTTGTTATGTTGGATGTGTTGATGTTATGTCTTTTATCTTATGTTTACCAGAGACTTACGCTGTCGCTTATGTTTTGCTGTTAAATAGTGACGTTTGTTCTTATCTGTTCTTTAAGATTCCTTAAGTACACAACTGAAATATATATATTAGAAAAAGGGCACATTAGGTTAGCGTTTCAAAAGTGCATTAACTTCTAAAAGCAAATAAACCGAAAATAAAGTTAGTAGAGCACTTGGCACTTGGCTTATGTATTCCTTCAACGGGTGGTAAGATGTCATAGTTTTGATTTTCTTATTTCTGTTTATATTTTTTCAAAATTATATGTCTAATTAATTGAACAGAATTTATTTAAAGATTAGTAAAAGCAATTTTTTATAACCATTTTTAACTAAAAAATGGACTAACTCGTAAATAGGAAAATAAGAACTATTATTTCAAAAACTCAATCAGTTTATCAATTTCGTCTTAATAATTCGGGAAAATCTACATTAATAGTTCACGAACATTGTTCAAAACGTCTATATAATAACTTTTCATTACTTTGTAAATGCTAACAATAATTTAGAATTAAAATTAAGTTTAGAATCTCCGATTATTTTAAACGTATCATAAGATCAGAATAAAAGCAAACCATCCTGCACCTTTTCAAATTTTTGAGATCATTTACTCAAATAACGAAATCATACCCTAAAGATATCATACTGCTTATGAATTCTCCTACAGAATAGAATTCGTGTCAATAATGAAATGAACCCTTTCATTTCACTCGGCGTACAGTCAGTGTTTGCATTCATCTTGCTTTATTTTAAAGGTCACTACAGTTTTAAGTTGATAATTAGGCAAAATTAGTGCCGCCGATATTCAATAATAGAAATGTTGATAAATCTACACTGAGAGCAGCTATTACTGCCTTATGGTGAATTACATAGTAGACAATAAAAATGGAGTTCCATCCTAATATTAATTGTCACATATTTATTGTATCAATGGTGGAAAGGCGTAAAGGGATAGATTCTCCCTTGACAATATAATCTACAGTTAATAAAAACCATACAATTTTGATATATTTTATTCTTGTTTTAAAATATTTTGATATATGTAATTGATAAATGAAACTGAAGAAACAATGGCAAATATTATTAGCTATAAATAAAGACAGAAGAGTTAGTTACAGTATTTGATCAAAAAGTAACTTTATGTAGGAATCTTGAAGCAGCATCAATCCGCCAGAAGCAAGGATACCTATTTCACTTTTTGCTGTACATACTTTGCTCATAAGATGTAGAGAACAACCACCGTAGGTAACCCGTTATTTAATAAGGTCGGGGAGCATGCGTTAATTAACATTCATTGTCTATGTTATAAGATTTCTAAGTCACACAGACTCTATTTAATCGATTAGTCTACACAAACAAACATACAAAAACTTGATAACGGGGATGTGGTATCAAAACGGTGTGAAAGCGCTTATTAAGTTCACGAACTGAATCATCAGAAGTGATTACACCGATGTAATAACGTAAGCCCTATTTATTTCCGATCAAACAATATATGTATTAATATATTATTAAGTATGATCAACCAATATATGTATTAGTATATTATTAACTACAATATTTAAAATTGTACTAATAAAGAAAGAAGCTAACTTTCAAGGCTTTAGTTCATAACTTATATAAAAAATCGTACATTTAGTATTGAAAGCTCATTACCCTTTTTTAAGTTACTAACTCTGTTTACATGTACAGCATGTCTTTAGTTGACTAATATACTTTCGATGGTTATCAGTCCACAAGTGTAGACATTACTCAATAATATTTCATTTCATTGAAATTAGTTCAATGATAAAGGAACTCGTTTTATCTGACATTGATACCACATTCGGTTATCTAATTGATATGAGTATGAGTACAGATTAAATTATTTGATTTCTGAAGTTTTGCTCCATTAACAACATTAATATCTTTTTACACAATTTTTATGTCAGGTATTTCAATATTACGTGACTAAAGTAAAATAAATGAAAATCCAGCTAAAATAACTACTTTTCAATCATTTTCTTAATATGTATATTCCTATATCTCAAAACAACGCCTTTAAAGTAGTTTTATTGCTGTTTGAATAGTTTAAAATTGGACTTCTTGGTAAGCCTCCATCATTTTCTTATATTCATATATCTTAAAATAACACCTTTAAAGTAGTTTTATTGCTGTTTTAAGAGTTTATAACTGGACTTCTAAAATAATAATATATCACTTAGTAAGCCTCATTACTGACCAACTATTCCAATAATTGAGTAGCAGAAAGCACTGTGACTACAATAGCTCTATTATGCATATTTAATACTAAACCATGTATATTTAGTTTTCTTATAAATTTTATAAGAAGGTATTGCTATAAAGGTATAACAAAGCCACATATTATTATTATTATTAGTAAAAGAAGAGATCGTGCACTGCGTCCTAAAAGATCTATTGTGCCCCTTCGTTGGTTTTGAGTATTTCTCCAAGCCCGATTTCTATGATGAAAGACAGTATAGAGCCTATCTTTCCTAGTTTTGGATCCTTATGATCCATGAAATACCCTCCTAGGTGTTTCTTTCGCTTGTGCATCTGTGCTAGACACTCTCCAAGCACATGGTATGCAGTTTCTCTCTTTTATCTACAGTATCTGCAGTCTGAGTTGGATTGATGTCCTAACTTCGATAGGTGATTATTCAATCTACAGTCACATAAGTGGTAAAACGTACTTCGAGATTTCGATGTTGATTTCATAGAAAACCCAGACATCAGTGAAGTAGAGTATCAACCTATTTAAGTGACACTACAGGTTGCCAAGATCTGTACAGTAAAGAAAGAATTCTCTTCTCTTTTATCTTACAACATTTTTATATTATATTATTTTAAGATAATAATTTTCAAATGATAGTGGTCAACATTTCGGAGCATTCCGAACTTCAGACAGATACAGCTGTTTCAGTGCAATTACTCTTCGATTTGCAAATTAATGAAAAGAAAAAATAATTTTATGTGGGAAAAGTGTTCGCTTTATTACACAAAATAATAATATATTTGTGTAGCTTTTTTATTAGCTAAGACTGCTATAGACTTCGAAAATAATTTGAAGTTAAAAAATTATAAATATTATTCGCAATCAGAGTTACGTAGGCAGAGTAGTTTCGACCTCGAGCAGTACTTTTAAGCAACCTAACTGAATGGATATACATTCAAAAAGCAGTAATTCGTAAATAGTTTAACTATTTTTATAGACTATAGCCATAAAATTCACAATTAATTAATTGTAATAATAATATAATAATAAATAATTGTATAGTGATGTGTTTTAAGGTATGCGCTCACATAAATAAATATTGACAGCAATGCTTGCTTCTCGCTCGGAATAATAATTATTTATTATTTTAAGTATCTTTAACAATATTTATCACTTTAGAGTGTGATTCATAAATCTTATAAATATTTGTTTAAATATGTGGAAACGTATGTGAGTTACAGATACTTTTATGGAAGAGACAGCCACTTCTAAAATTATTATCACGAAGAATTTCATTGATAGTTGCTGTCATGTTCATATTTGTTTACTCATTCAAAGCTGTTATCACACCCCCTAGAATCTGTGATAAGAAATATTACAACATATTTCATTGCAAATATTTTTTATTGCTTTACTTATTAATAAATTTTAAAAAACATACGAGTATGAATGTAAAATGTATAGAATTGCAATTGTGCGTTTAATTATGGACTAAATTTTATTCACCGAACATGTGAAATGTCAGGCTCTAATCTGTGACTTTCCACAACATTTGTTATTACTTCTGAATTGTTTTAATTTATATTATTATTCAATTTGTTGTTGTAGATTCATACAACATGAATGTTCAGTTATAGCACATAAATAAAATACATATAAATAGCTATATAACTTGAATAGATTTTACTTTAAATTTGAATAACAAGTTACATTTCGACCCAAAACTATTGGTGTTTATACATCAAATTTAACGAGAACGACACAGTATATAAGGAAATAATCTAGGCTTGGTACTATATAGTAATTGACAAGGCAATCACATATTAAGAAAACTCTAGTTAAGGACAAATACAACTTGGAGCTGCAAATCCAATATTCTGCACAACAATGATCAGTCCGTGGAACAGAGCTCAAGACAGCTCAAAAACAAAAAGAAAAACATAATGTATTGGCATAACAAAGATAATGAGACCCACAGCAACACTGGAGGTATTGCTAGAATGTGAAGCACATAGTGGTATCTCAAGCAATTATAATAAAGGTTGAAGGAAATAAAAGAACGGTTGGAATATCAAAAGAGTTAAGAAAGGAAGAAACATCATGCGACCTGTTAGATTGCCATCATGACAAGAATGGTAAGCTGTTGGATTTAGAGAAACGATTTGAAATTAAACACCAGAAGAGAATTGGGCAGGAATAAGGAATGCATATTCTTTTTAAGAAGGCACTATCATGTGGCAGACAGACAAGTCAAGAAACGAAAGTGGAATTGAGCAAGAAGTATTTGGATTAACAATTAAATATACAAAAATCATGACAAAATATTTAAGTATTTTTGAAGCGGAAATACTTGCCATCGAAATATGCGTATAGTTTAATCTTTACATTGCTTTCAAATGCGGAAGATAGCTGTAAATCGGAGAGTCAAAAACAAACTTGATTCCAAGTTAAAAAGAGCTGTCTTAAATCAGCTAGGTACGGACAACAAAGTCAGCCCTAACTGAGTTCATAAGCAAGCAAGGATCCAGGCAAGTCAGCGTTGTTTCGAGGAGTCACCATGGTAATAAAACGTGCTTGAAACTTATTGGAACACGGACGAGGTATGAGAAAGAATCCCAATGGTTCAAGAAAAACAATAGAGACAGAGACTGTTTGAGACCGTTATGGGTTTTAGGCAATTTAAATTGTTGTTGAATAACTATAATAGCAAAATATTTAAATTATGTATTGGTTTATACAAAAACAGATTCAGAATGTTATTTTACGACTATTGAGCGGACACTACTACAAAAATTTAAATTTCAAGTACTTTTTTGGCAGACAATACATTTATATTGTCATTTACTTTCACTATAAACATT